TTAAGGCAAGACCTTAAGAGAGCTGTGCATAAATTAGCAAACTGAAACTTATACAGTAAAAAGAATTGGGACAAAGGCTGATGATGTCACAGTAATTGCTACTAAAGTTGGTGCTTCAAGCTACTGAATAATTGAACATTCTCAGTTTTTCACACATTTCTTGGATTTTTGTTTAGTTTTTCCTAAAAATTCTTAGAAACTAGTAAGGCCGATATTTTTACTATGTCCTAATATGCAAAATCTTAAAAGTGACAGAGTGCACTTTCTCTTTCCCATCACCATATGCACCTAAAATGTAAATAGCTTTGAGTTCAAGTATAATACTTAAACAAATATGCTTAGTTTCAATAATGCAATATTCTCTGATTTTCAGCAGACATATTGTATGTGTAGGTGGTCAACAGACTCCATTTCCCAGGATCCAACAATGATGCTGGGCTGGGTTACTTGCGAAAAGCAGGTAGAGCAGGTTTCTATTGTTACGACAGGTGCTCTAAACAGCGAAAAAGAAAACAGGAAGAACTGGTGAGGGAAGAAAATAAAAGGGAGGGAGAGAGTCAGGTGGAGGAAACACAGTGACACGTGTGTGAAAGAGCAGCAGGTGGATTAGACAACCTGGATTACAGACACACATCTTTAAAAATTCTTATTTTGAGGAATTTCTCCTTTGCTGCGACAGCCAGAACCTGTGCAAAGGGGCAACAGACCGTGTGCTGTTTTTTGCTGGGGGCTAAAAAGTGGGTCAACACCTGAGAAGGAGCTGAAAAGAAAAGCAGAACTGAGACGGTTTTGTTTGAAAGAACACAAGAGGGGCAGACTGAACTAAAAAGAGAAGACATGCAGACTTATTAGGAAATTTTTTGAATGACTGGATGGATTGTCTGAAGCTTTTTTAACCTTTGAACTGCTCTCTATCTTGACAAACCTTCCACCAGCCTTAAACTGGTTTTGCAGGCCATATTTACCTAAACCTACTCTGCTGATGTAAAATCTAGCCTGCTTACCAACTGTAGATTTTGTTAGAAGAAGAAGGAACCAGGGCATTTTTTCAGTTGTTCCCTGTTGAAACTTTGAACACACCACAAGTTTGATATCCATATTCCTTCTTGTGACTGAGTCTTGATTCAAATTCAAAGATAACCCAGCGTCTCTTACCCTCAAAGAAAACCCATTCCTAGCGATCTATAGTACTGGAGGGATCATTTCCTTCCA